AAGTTTGATTTGGTAACAGAACAATAGCCTTTGGAAACATATGTTATCCATGCAAAAAGATTTCTCACGCTAAAAAAGGAAAATTTACAATAAACACCACCAATGCCAAGATAAAGTGGAATTTTAATTCTCCCCCCCCCCCCCCCCCCCCCCGCTTGATCTACAATGACAAAGTTGCCATTTTAAAAGGTTACAATACTAAATAGCATTACACAAAGAAACATGCACAGCAATATGATAAATATCAGGGACAACAGAGAGGGAAGGTGGTCTCGCAGTTTAAAAGAGATTTAGCAGCAGCAGGTTTTTTCAGAAAGAAAAAAGTCAGTCAGCAGTTTTGGCAAGTTAAGTTTGAGTGAAAAACAACTGCTAAGTCTGAGAAGCCATTTACTGATGGTGAATTTATTAAAATAAGCATTACCGAAGCTGGTGAGCTCAGATGTCCCAATAGGAGAGATGTTTTCAGCAATATCAGCTTATCTTCAAACAAAATAGCAGAGCATATTTTTGAGCTCTCCAACAATGTCGATGAGCAGCTCATCGAAAAAAGCATTGCTTCCTGTGCCTATTCAATCACAACTGAGAAGAGCACTGATTTGACTGACAGTGCACAGCTTGTGATATTTGTGAGAGGCATTGATGAAAACTTTGCAATAACTGAAGAATTGCTCAGTTTGTCAACAATATATGGTAGAACAGTAGCCTGTGACATTTTTCACTGTCTCAGAAGCACTAGCACAACAGTTTGCCACAGCACTTCTTGTTAGCAGCCCTAACCCCTGATAGGGCCCCAGCAATGATTGGTCACAAATAGTTTGTTAGCACTCACACAAGAAAGGTGGAAGGGCAAAACACTGAGCAACTAGCAGCATTACACAGCATCATTCACAAGCAGCACTTCAACAGGTCTTTGAAAAATCTTTGAAATTTGAGAATGTCATGGCAGTTGTGAAATACGTGAATTACATTTGCTCAAGGGGCTTGAAGCATGATACTTTTGTGCTTTCTTGAAGGAAATTGAATCTAAATGTAGTGACTTGCTGTACTTCACTGAGGTGCACTGGCTAAGCAGGAGCTCTGCTTTAAAGAGATTCTTTGAATTGAAAACAGGTGAAAAGATTCATGGAAGAGATTAAAATGCCTGTACCAGAATTTGAAGATGGCAAACGGATGACAGATCTTGCTTTCCTTGTTGACATAATACAAGAGCTGAACATCCTAAACATAAAGCTGCAAGGTCTAGACTGCGGTGACCAGCTAGCCTATGATGATCATAGAATACTAGAACTAGAAGGGACCTTAAGAGATCACCAGGTCCAGTCCTCTGTTCTCCTGGCAGGACCAAGTAAGGTCTATATCATCCCTGATAGATGTCTCTCTAACCTGCTCTTAAATATCTCCAGTGATGGAGATTCCACAAGTGCTTTTGCGGAAAAGTGTCCGTGACAATCTAGACGCTCTGTTCCAAAAATGCTTTTAACAGAAAACTTTTCCGATAAAAGCATTTCCAGAAAATCATGCTAGTCTAGACGTAGCCAGTACGTTTATAATATACCTGCAAAATCAGTTATCAGTATCATTGCAAGGCAGAAATGATCAATAACAACTGAGTAAGAACTCTTAACTCATAAAATAACTAAATCTGGCAGAATGGAAATGCAATTCATGAAATATCCTAATTCGACATTCAGACCAAAAGAAAATAAACTCAAGACTTACAAAGTACACTGTATACTACATGTAACTTCACAGTGTAATATATTTAAAAACTGAGATATTCACATTTTTCATATGCATTAGATACTTGTTGAAATTATATTCCACTACTCTTCTTCTATTGGCAGATTTTACCTATTCTGCCACAATATGTGTCCAAACAGAAAAAGACAATTAAATAACTTACTGGAGAACTGGCACCAAAACAGACATAACCCATGAATTTAGAATATATTCTGGAACATTTTGGTAAAATAGAAAGGCTATATTTGAACTAGATACAAACAAATGTTGCTGAATTAGTCCTTTGAAAGGACCTGAAGTATGCAACACAGAAGAGAAACAGTTTCCTGTTTTGCTACATTTGAAAATAACCAAGTAATGAAAAACAAGCTCTTCAGAGTTTGTCAATGAAATTGTCATCCCACTAGCCTTAAAGGCAAAAGAAAGTCAGATGCAGAAATATTGTGCATTGGATTGAACTATGCCAGAGACAAAAAAAGATTTCCTGAGTCAGTTACAACAGTTATATGTTTCTTATTTAAAAATAAATAAATAAATAAATAACATTGTGTTTTAACATACATGCAAGCAGTGAGCTTTAAAGCATCCACCCTACATAAGAGAGAACTCATTCTTACTTTTGGCATGAGTGCAAATT